CTATAGGACGACTTTCTTGGGGTCTCATCCAGTAAGGGGGGGGGCATCAAGTGGCTGCCCTCACCCCCCACCCCCTAGACTGCCTACACTCCCCCTGGCGCACAGGTTTCTCGAAGTACGGGACCCCGTGAGCCAGGGGGAGTGAAGGCAGTCTAGGGGGTGGGGGGTGAGGGCAGCCACTTGACGTTGCATCACAATGCCCCCCCCCCTTACTGGATGAGACCCAGTTCCATAGAACGTTTCATATCAATAAGTAACAATACCAAAATCAGAACATTATGTTCACCAAGTGTAATTTTTAGGAAAGGAAGAGCTCGATATGAAGAGAAGACGTCACGCGGGAACTACTACTGCGATCGTCTACAACACCAGACAGCGATTTCCAAGTGGAGGTAAGATTTTTCTCAACAAAGTCCTCCTTGAATAACAGCTCCAGTTTTCCTCATGGTTAGTTGAAAATTGCACGGGTTGAGAAGAATTTGTAGACAGGGCATGTTTTTGGAGCAGTTGTAAGAGAAAACGAACACTATCAGCGAATACAAATGATTATCAATCTGCGTGAAGAATAGGAATGACAGTTTATTTTTATCTTCAAAAAACTCATTGTTAATTCGCTAATGTGTTTAAACAAGGAGCTTCAAACATCAAACCAGGCAAAAACCAGCGCTGATTGGTGCCAAAACAAAGAAGACTATAATGTTAGGGTACATATTATTACTGAATAATGAAACAAGAACTCATACAAACGAAATCTACTCACCCTTTGGTCGTTGATGTACGTGCCATTAAGTGAGCGGTCGTTGATGTGATATTTTTCAATACGTCCACTTGCACCTTTTACGCCAATTATATCCGCATGATCTCGGGATATCATATTCGAAGAGCTGAAAAAGGAAGTATACCCGACATGATCAAGGGATATTAGAGCGGTGATGAGGATTCAAGTGTCCTTGAATGAAAACCTTCTCTTGACTTCTTTTTAGCATTTCGCTAATTTTCAACCCATTTAAATAGGGCGCCAAGGTGCTTGTTGGGTGGCTCACAATGACGAGAAGTCGGTAACGCAGCGTTTATACTCAGCGAACGGCGGTTACAGTCTTTAGCACGTGCAAGAGAGACGTTTAGCAGAGAAGAGACGATGGGAAATGCAGCGAAGAGATAAGTGAGTTCCGGTGGCCTTGACAGTGAAGTAGTGATTTCTGGAAGAGCCTCCCGTCGACCAGATCTTAAAACCTCGCAGTGAACATTGCTAGCGGTCTCTTCTTCATCTCATCTGGGTGGTCCCCATAAGCGCTAAAAGAATAATGACCAATCGTTAGGTGCATTTTTTCCCAGTGAATGGTCGAATGGTACGTTCACTTCTGCAAACTAACAATACGTCACCTCCTCGAGTTCTTTTGCAGCGCGTGACGCTTTCAAAAAAAAAAGCCCTTTAATCTTATCGACCTCTCCTCTTCGCATAAAGAAATCCTGAGGAACGACCAATCCGAACCATTAGACTCAAGACTTAAAACTGAAGAAGTACCTCGCAGAATGAATGAGTTCTTAGCAGAATGAAAGACTACAAGGCGCGACAACATTTACACAAGAAAGATTAACGGTCCCAATTAGATCCCCGACAAATTGAAGCCATGAATACGTGCTGATATTAGCTGCAAACGTCGCTCCATCGAATCAATAAACAGAAACAGTTTCGCACATTCCTTTATTATTCTTCGGCTTAGAGCCTCATATGCCAGAGCGAGATATAGAAAATACCTGACATACTCAAACACCATGGATTTCAGCCTACAGGATTAAAAATTAGAATCCTCCGCGACACGCAAACTTTGCCCTTGTAAGAGTAATAAACTAGGTCCATATTACTAAACGAAAAACATATATCATGATGCACAATCTTTGGTGCTGCGCACCACCTCTGGCGCAGCTTGCACATTCAGCCAACCTAAAGAAAGCTACCGAAACGACATTTATACCCAACTTTCTGTGAAACTTGCTAGACATGGTTATTTCACCTGTTCGGTTACAAATATAAAGAATTCGCTAATTGAAAATTACGCCTGTCGACATGTCTCTCTCTCCCCTCCTCGGCTGCCTTTTCTTTGATCATGTGCCTACGGCTTAAACTATTTCAGGGACTGGACATCCTGACCGGTGGGTAGAAAAAAAAACGCTATACACGGCAAAAATATGACAAAGATGTGTGAGATCATAACGGGTAAAACACGCCACACCCACACTTCTGTCAACCAATTCCTCTCCCAACACCTGATCACCAGACTCAGCGATTCCACCTAATCAGGCGATAGGGCTGTCAAGCAGAAAAAGGCGTCAAATTCCAAAAAAATGTTATTCCGTAATCAGGACACCAAACAACCCCTACATACAAGTTTACACCAATTTCGGTGGAAAAAGCCGTCGTGATAAAGTGGCACCAACTGGTGCCAAGTGGCTTCAGCGTCAAAAACGAATATCATACTCGTAATCAGTGATCATATTACTTCTATAGGCAGAGATTCAACAAAAAAAACAAAAGATATTGTGACAAAAGGAATAGTACCGAAAGTTCAGAAAATCCCTGTAAAATGCAACATTTTTGATCAAAATCACCTTACCTGAAAACGGACGAAGTCAATACAACGTCGCATTTTTCGGGATTCCTTCCAAACTTCGTATGAGTATCGAGTCTAAAAAACATGAAGTAACAACAAGCGAAAGCTTTGTTACAATGTTTGAACTAATAATAATAAATATGAAATATGAAAGCGGCAAAAAAAACCATCAGAATAAGGACAAACGAATAAAAGGAGAAAATAGTTAAGGAGCTCAGAGGTGGTATTCCCCGGATAATTAGCGTAGCATTCATCAGGAACCCTACACAATCTATTCTCTGTTTTTATATCGTTCAATTCCAAATCTCTCAATTTAGAAAGACTTCAATTTCGCTCTCATTTAGTAGGCAGATCCGTTGCAACAAAGACGCAAAACCACTCGGGAAGAGAAAGAAATGTCGAGCTGCGGCGGTTCGTGTCGTGTTTTGGGTCGACGAATGGTGACATCTTCATATTCGTGACAGTGCAATCTACACAATTCTCTATGATTCCTCGAAAGTTTTGCAAGGCACTTTTAGCCATACCAGGGGACCTAAACCCTCAGTGTAAGTTCTCAGAAACTCCACTGTTTTATTGAAAGTTAGGAATGATCAATGATTACCATGCAACCTTATGTCATTGGGCGAGGGGGAGCATTTAAGCGAGTGAGCCAATACCGTGCCTGGAAGGAGGGAATTCTGTGGAAGGATGTGAGCAATTTGAGATCTCCCTAGCAATTCTCCCCTCTCCTGGGTTTATTTCTAGTGCCACTCGCCATCCGCCTTGTTTAGAATGTCTCCCTTGAGGGAGTGAGCGGAAAAAGATATCCAAAAGGGAGCGAAGAGTCGGATAGTGTGTCAGAACACAAGATAAGGAAAGATGGTCTCAGGACTTCTGTCAACCGTGAGGCTTGGCGGTTCAGCGTTTTGTAGTGATGTCTGGGAGCTCTCACACAGTCACAGCATCTCCTCTTTCTTTATCTTCTTCAAAAGGCTTAGTCCCAATAAGACACAAAGTGTGTGCTTTTCCAGCTACGCTCTCACCCTTTGGTTGACAGAAGCCTTGTAACCAAGGTGAGATATCCAAAATCATAAGTAAATCACTTACAAAATAAGCGTAGCTTCAACACCTCGAGATGGATCTGAGCGGCACTTATTGGGAGGAATCCGTCGTAAGTGGAAAAGATT